ATTGGCCAGATGTTCTATGGCTAACAGTTTCTTTTTTCGCACTTCTCACTTGTGGAACTCTCTTCCAGTTCCATGCTTTCCAGCCAACTTTGATCTTCAAAAATTTAAATGCATTGTCAATCGCTATCTACTGTCTTCCTGATTGCTCTTCTGTTGTTCTTGCTACTTAATAATGTTTCTGTTTTTTAATTCCTCCACACCCTGTAGCCCTCTTGTGTCTTAGTGGCTTTATTGCCTTGCTTGGGTGAATTTAATTAAAAAATTTTTTTTTCGAAGTACAATGCAATTAAAAAATTACTTAAATATGGCTGTCAATTTTTATGATGCCAGTCAACTTGTTTAATAATAAAAACTGAAGAGATTGTTAACCATTGCTCCATGGCAAGTCAAGATCATTTTTTTAAATGCCATATCCCTTTAGATGTAGGTAATTGTAGATTTCCTTAAAATTCTGTTCTTTATTGTCTGTGAATTGCCATAACTTCTTGGGAAAGACAGTGTAGCAGTTTCCCACTGCCTTCACCACGGTTTGGAATTCAGAGTTTTCCTTCTCTTAGACTGGTTTCCACCCAAGCCTAGAAAGCTCAGTCTATTTTAAACCATAGCTGGAGTGAGAATGGAATGATTCATGTCTTTCTGAAAGGGAATTTGTGCAGAAAGGAATGCAACAGACTAGCCTAGAATCTGACTCAGCTCACTGATTACACATTCCACGCCAGTATCCATTGCACTACCGGCACAACCTACGTCCACCTGTGGCAAGTTCGATCATGATTGGGTCCTCAAATTAATAACTTTGTGCTCTACTCGTTTCTTCTAAGCTTAGTAAAATTTTAATAGCAAGAGTTATTCCCCTTGCAACGATGTTGGCTGATCTCGTTTTGAAGTAATCTTAACGTAGATGTTATAATTATCTTTGTCTGGCACAAGATCACAATTCTGGGGCATCAAATGAGGATCAAACTTTATTGAACTAACCAGAGTAGGTGCCTAAAAAGCTTAATCAACGCCAGGTGTCTTACATTGATCTTTAAATCAGCACTCTACGGCAGGTGCACTAAGTTATAGAAAATCCCTAAAAAAAAAAAAAAAGAGCATCTGCGATGGCACAATGGTTAGCAGACCTTCTTTGAATACGAATCTATTTGTGCAGTGGGTTCAGTTACCACAACTACTATGGCTTCATCCCCAAATAAACTAACATTAGTAAATTGGAGGTTTTGTCATGGAGTAGTGGCTAACAAGCTCGTCTCGCAAATTATTACTTTCTTTAGTGAAGATAAACTTCATTCAGCACCCTGCATATGTTGCCTTGTGCTAGATTAGCTTAATCTTATAAGGTTGTTTTTTAGCACCATATCAACATATATGGATTATTTAATGCTGAAATCTAAATATTTTGTATGCATTTTTTTTATTTTTGGAAATAATAATGGTTTAGTTACTAATTAATCCATAGCTAGGGGGGAGAAGAGGTGGATTCATAGCTTTCCCAAGGCTATTCTTGGTATCAAGAAACTTCAAAGTCGGGGAAAATGACAAAAAAAAAAAAATTGATATTTAAAGTTAAGTAATCTTTTTATATAATATTATTAATGCTCTATTTTTAATATTATTTAACTATATATAAAAATATTTGCTGTTTCTTAAATCATATATATACAAACAAAATAACAAAGATTATATTTTACAAATAATAGCAAAAATAAAAATGCTTGACAAGGCAATTTCTGGGAGATAATGCTTTTAAGGTAAGCAGACTTTGTAATTAGAGTTCTCAATATAGAGAGACGGAGCATTAATGAGAATTTAAAAAAAAAAAAAAAAACAACTTTTATTCATCTTATTCCAAATCTGAGTTTACATCAACTTGTCAGGGAAATTGATTGTAAAATTGAATTTATTTACAGAAATAATATCTTAACTTATTTGAAATTGTTCAGTTATATGTATTAGGTAAGTTTGATATAATCAGAAGTTAGATATTAATATTATATTACCATTATATATATCAGCATGTAAATAGGCTACATTATGGTGATTGCTACATCTTACTGAGATGAGAGCTGCCTCCTCACCCTTCATATTACTTGTAATGGCTTATGTCTTATTTTGACGTCCATGGCTATATTTATAGCCATTGCAGTGTGGTTAGAACATTCGCATTCTGACCATGAGACCTGGGTTCGAATCTCACCATAATCAATTTGTCAGAAAGGGGACTACCTGATGTTATCGAACTGGAGGGGTTGATCCCAGTGTATGGTACCTTTGGAAAGTGCCTGAAAACCATACCACAGGTTGACCCAAGCCTTGTGAGTGAAATTGGGTAGGCAGAACCCTTGAGGGCTGTTGATAGCTGTGCTAGCAATAAGTCATAAGTCATCGTGACTGAGGACTTGAGTGTGCTGGCCTTGTTCACGTTGATCACGCTAGATAACATGTTCATTCCCAGAAACTGTGACTACGGTCTGCTCAGCATAGTTACAGTATAAATCACAGAGCAGGTGTCTGCAATAGGGATTGGCTAGCCACCCTAGCTGACCGGTATCCTTGAGCACTGTTGAGAGATCGGCAAATTCTATAAACAGCAGCTGTCAGCACTAACGCATCACTCTTCATTAATGAATATAGCACTCTGGCTGTTGGGCATTTGTTTACATTCGTAAAAACAATACGTTAGAATTCGTCTTTCTCTCTGCCAAAGTGGTGATGGCTTGAGGGTAGAAACTCCGATTGATACTAAATCGGGTTAAAGCATTCAGTTGTCTAGTTGCACTGATGAGCCATAATACAGTGAAACAGGCCTGTATGCGAATACACAAAGATGTAGTTTATGGAAAGATTAGCCAACCTGAAGTAGATATGATTAAGACACTAGTGTTTCACATACTAATTCTGGATGCTAGTGTCTCATGTACTAATTCTTTAGAAATCCTTATGGAGTAATCAGCTACACTTCTGACTTAGTGTACCAACCAGAATTGAGAAAATGAAAGTGTGATAACAGTGAGTTTGAGAAACTGATTTTCTTGAAAAACCATTTGAAAAGAAAGAATTCATAAATTTCAACTGATAATATAATATTTTCTAATAATGCTAACTGTTGGTCATTGAATGCCAAATGTTGCCTGTATATTACCATTATAATAGTTGGCTACAGGTAGTCAATCCCTATTGTAGACGCCTGCTCAGGCACATTTGTGTTTGTTAAACAGCCACAGAGCCCACATGCAACTATGTTGAGCGGGCCTTAGTAAATGTAAAAGGTGACGCACACCTCCCTAAAAAATTGATTGTGGCAAAATTCAAACCTATGTCTGGTTTTCAGGCAATTTCCAAAGGTGCTGCATGTTGGGATGGCCTCCCTTGGTCAATAACGTCAAGAATCATCTTCCTGAAAATCGACCATTGTGAGATTTGAAACTGTATCTTATAGTCTAAAAGTGAATGTTCTAACATTATATTTACATTAATATTACCTGGATGGATCCTTTTTGGATAGACTGTGTATTTGTGTCTTATATGACCTAGGGGACCAGATGTACTGTATCACTTCTTTTATTTATTTGGCCATATCCAAGGAGTTAGTCTAGCAGTTAAAAGTGCAGGTAAATGCAAGAAAAAAAGACAACAAACAAATATGAAAGAATCAATGTATAATTACTGATATTGTTTTTGCTGGTATTTTCTTTATGCCGAGATGATTTTCTTTTGTGCATTTTGGAAAAATATGAACTGTTGCTGGACTTGTCAGAAAGAATGAAAGATTATTTAAGAAAATAAGCCAGACAAAAAGCCAAGCTTCTTGCAGAGCAAAATGCAATGCTAGATTTTTCATCACTCTCATGAAAATAGAGATTTGCTCTTGTCAAAGACACACTTCTTTCAGGAAGCAAGTTCTTCTCTAATTAAATGGTCATAAAGCAAGACATTCAAATTTGTCTTTTCTCTAAATATTCTGACATGTGTAAATAAAGCAAAATTTTTAAAAAAGTAAATTACCTTCATCCATTAGAATATGAAAAAAAAAAATTTTTTTTACTTGATCTCATAAAGCACACAAAAAAAGTGAATTATTTTTTTTACTTGACCTCATAATGAAACCACACAATTTTTTTTTTACCTGATCTCATAATTAAAGTGCACAAAATTTTTTTTATTTTTTTTTTTTTTTTTTTTTTTTTTTACCAGATCACAAAATTAAAAAAAAAACATTTTGAAAATAGTATAAACTTTTGGTGAAAGTTATTTTTTAAAATTCTCAAAAATAAACAAACCTGCAGATATTATAATTCTGCTTGGGACTATAATTTGTAGTAAGTTAGTTAACAGGTGTATTATACTCTGCCATTACCTCAGATAAATAATAGACCATTCCATTTTGGTAGCAAAGAAAGATGGAAGGAAAAATATATGTGAGATGCTGTTTGGTTTTAGAGAGAAAAGGAAAGCATAGAAAGATAGAGGAGTTGATAATACTCTCATGCATTTAACGTCTGCTTCACTGAAATGGAAAAGTACTACCAGTTCTATACACTTATTCACAATATGTTGAATGGTCCTTGAGTTGCATAATAAAATCTCACAGCAACAAATAAATTATTGCATGTTTCTAATAAAATGTTTTAGCTGATGTCATAATTCAAAAAACTTAAAAAATATCTTTAAAAAAAATTGATATTATTTTTCAAAGTTATCAAAAACAAACCAAACTAATCTCTTCTCTCTCCAGATAATAATGACTAGAAATACCTATGTCATTAAAGAAGTAAGAGGATACAAATAGAAAGATTAAAAATTGACAAGCTTTTCCATTTCATTGAAGCAGATCTTAAATCTATGCGAGCATTATTGTCTCCTCTATCTTCCTTTCTATTATTTTTCTTTTTCTCACTGAAACTGAACAGCATTTCTTTCTTTTGTTTTTCTTTCTTTGCAATGAAAATGAAATGGTCTATTATTTATCTGAGGTAATGGCAGGAACAAGTAAAATTATGTTAGGGTAATGAATCAACAGCAGCAATTCTTCCCGAAAATGGGAAAGAATGTGGCAGCAAAGCAGTGAGCTTTTTTTCACATAAGAGAAAGAAAATCAAAAAAGAAAAACAAAATAGGCAAGTTTTTACAAAAGAAAAAAAAAAGAAGGAAATTACTGAAGTTAATACAGATCATACCACTAAGATAAATATAAATACTACTTGTTAATATACTAGGCATGGAACAAGAGGTTTCTGCCCCTAGTTCCGCACTTTGTTTGGGCAAAACACAATTGTAAAAATTTTTAAATGTTTAAAAAATGAAATGAAAAAAACAAACAAACAAATAATATCAGGTAATTATAAATTAACTTTTAAAATTTGCTATTTAAAAAAAAAATTTTTTTAATCAATTCACCCCAACCAAGGCGATAGTATCACTAAGTTGCAAGGGGCTACTGGGAGTGAAAGAGAATGAAATGACTTTAGAAAGAACCAGAAAACAAGGGATGGTATTTTCTGGTTTATTTTTTTATAAATATTTTATTTATTTGGTTCACTGGTAAATTTCTTTGATTAAAATATTTTTATTATTAAAAAGCTACAATTCAAATCTAAGTTAAAATTTCTTTTTAGTCACCGCCCCTACTCAAAATTCTGATAAGATTAGGCTGCTCACCTTACTTTTGATTTTAATTTTTACCTCAGTGTTCCATTAACCAACAAACATTATTTAATGTTACTTGATCAAAATTGAAAACTGCTTTCCAGAAAATGGAATTGAAAGGAAACTAAGGACAAATTGTTAATGTCTGACTCACCTTTTTTGGCACAACTAAAATTGACTGATCTATTTGTAAAAAAAAAAAAAAAAAAAAAAAAGAATTTTAGGGGGAATAATTTTTGTAGATTAGCACTCATTAGACCTTTCTCAAGTCATAATATTTATCAGAAGCAAAAAAAATATTGATTTGTTTTATCATTCTAGGTGATGTGGGGTTATATTCATAGCATAAATACAGTGTCAAATCAGTCCCTGACTTTTTAAAAACAATTATTACTGTGTGAATGATTTTTTCTTAATCTTATTGTTTCTTTTTTAAATTACAATTCTCATAGCAAATCCAACAAGGTACTATTAACTCCAAGTGTTTTACTATTAAATTAAGCTCATTTATGTTAGCTCTGTCCTATAACAGTTGTTACATTGAATGAAATATGGTTGTTGATTTGTTTTTTTTATGGTTTATCAACCCCTTTTTGGATTACTTAAACCTGAAATATACTTTGGATTGTAAGAAATTTTTTTTTTTTTTTTTTTAATGAGTGGATATTGCATTAAGTTTTTTAGAATAACAATAATTTTTCCAGGTACAAGTTTTTTTTTATTTAACCCATAACTAAGGGAGGGAGATGAATTAATCACTTTCACAAGTGAAGGTAACAGACCTGACTGAAGTTCCAACTGAGCTGTTTGGTAAGCAGCTCAGAATGAGAAAACATTCTACCACCCACACATCCAAATGGAATCTAGTAAAATTGAGTGATTTGTGTTTTATGGTTTATCAACCTTTTGTAGATTATTTAAAGCCAGAAAATATTTTTCTTAGATTGTAATAATTATTTTGCGATAATAATGATTTACTGATACAAGTCCTACTAATTAGCCTATAGCTGGGGGGAGAAGAGGTGGATTCATACTTTTCCCAAGGGTATTTACATGTAAATTAATATAAGGATCTCGACTGGAATTGGAACTTGGATCTCCAATTTCCAAACAAAATATATAAGCTGGAATTTATGAAAACTAGTTGGATGTTAAAATTTTCTCTTTTCTTTGGAGATTTTAATTTTTCTCACCATAACTTTTTATTCTCCTCTATCAAAATCACCATACTTACATTTTAACCTTTAGCATTTTGCATTCTTTTTCAAGGCTTTTCAATTGCAGTATCTTAATTGTTAATTTCACTCAAAGTTGTTTTTTGTTGCCATAACAGGATATGACAACACAACTATGTAATTCAAATCACAGTTACCTTCAATGGCAGGATAAATGTTTTGTACAGCAAATGAAGTCATATACACAGTGGTAAAGGCTAACATATTTCCAATGTACAGATCTCATCGTTTTGGTCACAGATGTTTATTTTTTAATTTTATTAACCATTTAAAATTATTTAAATTCACCTCAGCATTTGTAAGTAGTGAGGTGTCAGTGTGTTGATTTTTTCTCTCTCAGATCTTTTTCAGTTGTTCTGATGAAGCTCTTATAGAATGGGTAGTGAGGTTGTCACGATAATGAGATTTTTTCTTTACATTTTTTAGTTGTTCTCATGATGCACTTAAAATGTTTAACAGAATAAAAATTTTAACATCCAACTCATTTTTCTGAATTAAATATGTACACAAATGTAACAACTATTATGGGATAAAGGTTGATTAGATAAGAAAATTCCTGAAATGGCACATAAAAATACTTCCCTACATACCAGAAAATATATCATTGGAGGGATATAATTTTGAAAAGAAGATTGGGACGGGTGATATACTCAAAAAATGATATCTTTGGTGGAAAGCAGGGAATTTAATATCAAACTTTTCATTATGAAACCCTTTGTGAATATACTAAAAAGAAAAAAAAAGATGGCTGTAGATATCTGGAGAAATTGATTCTGCAGTAAATAAATAAAAAATGTACTATGTTTAAAATAAAAAATGACCATGTGTGAAAAAAAAATATTTAAATATTTAAAATTTTTGATTTATAATATAAAATTACCAACAAATTACAAAAGCTAAAAATGTATAAAAATTATCAAAACTATGCCACAAAAAGCCATGAGATCTGTGCTTCATTTACAGTCAAATAAAACAAGTCAGTGATTCTGCATGATTTACGTTCATTCTGAAGTTAAAACCTATGCATATATAAGAAAGGTAAAAATGCTAGTTATGATTAATTAACACAATCAAAACTGCATCTTTACTTTTTATTGTAGTCGTTTCACCCCAAGGAAGGTAATCACGCCACTAAGATGCAAGGGTTACTGAGAGTGAAAGAAAATAAGAATAATGGACAATAAAAGAACAAGAATCAGGAAAGTAGTAACAGGGAACCAAGAAATTGGAAGAAAGTTCCACACCCAAAATGCTCACTATATCAAAATTTGTTAAAACTAGTAATTCAATTTCGATAGAGATTAAATTAAATGTAATAGCAACTCACTCAGATAAAATATAAAGATAAGGATATTAGTATATTCAGGCTGAATAAAAAAAAAAAAAAAATTGTAGCAGAAAACCTTGTGAAATTTAAAAGATGAAATTAAAATAAAGCAAACTTCTTCTGAAATACTTTTTTGTTAATTTTATAAAAATAATTCCTAGTTTAAATTAAATCTAGTTGAATTTAAGTACATTACTAGATTAGCGAGAAAGTCTCATTATTTTATAGTTGAAATGGTTAGATGTAACTGTAAGTTCTCAGTTTGCACTTCTTGCTTGTGGGACTCTTTTCTGGTTTCTTGCTTTGCAGTCAAATTTAAAAAGCAATGTCCATTGTTGTCTTCTGCCTTCTTAATTCCTATTCTGTTATTGTTCTCCCTCCTTACTAATGTTTTTTTTCTTCTTATATGCTCTCACACTCAGTAACCCCTTGCATCTTAGTGACTTTACTGTCTTGCTTAGTGTAAAATGTTTACAAGAAAAAAAATAAAGAAGATTCCCCAGAAAGAATTGACTTTTAAAAATAATTCTAAAAAAAATACTATCTCGTTTTATTTACTTATTTTTAATTCTTTTGATTTGCTCTGTTAGAATCAGAAGTAAATAAACATAAACATTAGATATTGTGGTACCCTTAATATTAGGGGAGGGATGTAGGTTCAAATCCTTTAAGATTCTCAAATGCCCAAGCTGCTAGACATGATTACATTGTTTTTTTAAAAAAAAAAAAAAAAAACTTAATAAACATGTGTATCTTCTAAATATGACATTTACAGTAATGAGAAATAATCCTCGTTTATAAATGAAATCTCTTGATGCCTTATAAATTACTTTGTTTAGGTTTTAGATATGGATGACAGACTGTTTTTCATGCTAAACACAATCATCAGGTTGATGATTGTGTTTAGCATGAAACAGTATGTTGCCCCTGAATGTTGACTTCAATGTTCACTTATATATATATATGAAGAAATATAGTCTTAAGGTGTGCTATATTTATGGGATAAAGTGCTCAATATCAGAGATAGAGCATTTAAAATTATAATAGTGAACACACAAAAAAAATTGTTTTTTGCAGACAGTCTTTTATGCTATATGTACAATCGTCAGGCCACTGATTGGCCTGATGATTGCACATAGCATGAAACAGACTGTCGCCTCTAATGTTGACTTTATATATATTTTTATATATATATATATATATATATATATATATATATATGGACTCTCCCATCGGTTTTGGACGTATGAGGATCTGCCAGCTTATTGATTCAGTTATGAAAGATTATACGATAATCTTAAGTGGCATTTAAGACCCACTAGTGATTTTACAAAGGAGGCCACATATGGAGCAAGTGTGAGAATTGTGAGATGAGATCACTGTTAGATTGGCTGACCTTTTAGATCTTGCTCTCGCTTCTTGAAGATGATTCAGACAAGCAGATTGGAAATTGCTGAGTCCACTAAAACACGTTGATCTCCATTCTACCCACTCCAAAGCTAAGCGCTCAAGGGTGTTATGTGGTATATTAACAAATATATATATAAATAAATAAATAAAATCAACTTCTGATCATGAGCTATCTCCCCTTCCGGAAATAAAAACCCAAGCTATGAATTGGTATAACTGCATGTTGAGAATCTCCAGGTTTCTTCTTAGACCACAGACTGTATGTTTATATCTAATTCCAAAATCTATTTCTAATTTCATTTAAATAAAGACCTACTGAATTTATTAATAATTTTCACTTCATCACAATTGGTTCCTGCGGGTTTGCTATTATTTCTTTAGGAAGACAATGTTTTTTGCTGTTCAACAGCAGGCAGTGCTAGTCTATCTACTACTTTGTGTGCGGATTGAATAATCTTTTCAACATTAACCAAAAATACAGTGACAATAGATTTAGGTGATTGTACTAATAACCCATTGGGCCAAAGAAAAATTAGGAGTTTTTACCTAACCTCATATTCTGATATATTTAAAATGTTTTTTTTTTTACATTAGAAGAGAAGGCATATGAAAAGAGAGAAAAATTCATTACCATTTTCCAGACATGCCCAGCTAAATGTAAACTGGATAATGGATATTTTATTGCATTTTCTTTGCCTGGAAACAATCAAAACCAGATATTCATGAGTAATAATGGCTCTATTGCTTATAACCTGGGCATAATTCTATTAGAATTAGAAATAATATAGAAAGATGGCGTTCCTTCGGAGGATTAGCGTGATTGTGTTGTGTCTCACTGGTGATGGTCCGAGGTAATGCTTTCTCCATCATTGTGGCTGGCAGAGGATAGCAAAAAAAAATTGTTTATAGTTACTTTGTTCAAACTTTTTTTTTCAATAAAATATTTTACTGAATCAAAAAAAAAAAATATAGAAAAATTATCTTGTGAAGACCGAATTACCTTAAAATTGGTTAAATTTTGAAATAAATTAAACTGGGAAAGGGTTAAATTCATTTTTTAACAATAACTATATTTTTTTCAATATAGTAGAGATGTTATTTTTTTAATGCATGAATTGGATCACTTAGGATATAACTTAGTTATGCTTAAATTCAAACATCTTTTAGACTTATTTTTTAAGAAAGTCTTTTTTTTTAAATCTGAAAATAATTAAAACTTAAAAATTTTCTTAGAGACAGATTTGAAATATAAGGTTAGGTAAAAAAAAATAACAAAAATTAAAATTGGTTTGAACTTTTAAAGATAGATTAAACAAATTTCTTGTTTCACATGTTTTGTTCCAAGCCCAGTATTAATCCCACCCCCCAACCAAAAGTTTTATACCCCAGTTTCACATTGAGATTTGTAATTACTGTCCGATCGTGATGTCATTGATTTGATTGTAGTCTTTATACTGTCCAGCACTGACTGGACTGCCTTTTCATCAACTGGACTGGTTAAACGTCTTTTGGTACTTTTAAGTTCTTCTGGGGATAAATTTTTATTTGCTTCGATCAAAGACTTCCTGTCTGATTTCAAGCCATTATTCATCTTGACCAAATGGAGATTTTCAGTGTCACCAATCTTTTTAATGGAATTCAATGATGGGGAACGAAGGGATTCGATAGACGAGGCATTAGAAATACTCTCCTTGTCTTCAAATATTGTATCAAAACTGACATAAGTTGACATTTTAGGGTTAACTTTGTCAGTTCCGCCCCATGATGATGGTCTTTGGAAAAGGCTTCCAAAGATCTTTTTGCTTCCACTCTCCGAAGATGATTCTTTAGAAAATGGTTGGGAAGACTTCTTTTTGAGAGCCTCGACAGCTGAGATTTTTGGAGATACAGGAGTCGAGTGTTGGGCTACCAGCTTCTTGAATTCCTGCAGGCCTGTTTCCAATTTACCATTAGATTGGCGCCGGATTTTCTTATCTGTTGTTAGACCGATTTTGTCTGAATGTGACTGGTTCTTACTTTTCTTCAGTGCAGACTTGCTTATTGACAGAGAATCACTTTTGCTGTTCCCAAACATTTTGCTGAAAAGACTGGTTGATTTAGAAGACTTCTCATTAAAATTCTTGAAAAGGTCTTCACTGGATCCAGTCAATTGTTCAATATCTGTGATTCCCATACGACGAGGGTCTTTAGTAAGCGGTGGGCCCATCACTGGGCAGAATTGCTCAATTGATTCTTCAGAGCCGTTCTTTTTGATGGCTACTCTGTAGGAATCTGATCGATTTGTGGAATCATCTAAACTGTTGCAGTTATTCAAGCAGCCTTCCATTGCAACCCGGTAGGAATCACTCCGGTTTGGCAAATCTTCAACTATCTTATTGGATAATGTGATTGCTTTTCTGTAAGAATCAAGGCGTTTGGGCTCCTCATTTGCTTTCTCCGTCATGGCAACACGATAAGACTGGTTTCTGTTTTTCGTGTTGGATTTCATATCGGTGGTTATGGCAAAATCCAGTCGATCGTAACTTGCAGAAGATGTTGAAGATTTGGGGCTATTCTTAGCTGATTCCCCGTCAGAGATTGATGATGCAATGGATCCCTTGTCTGAGGGTCGCTCTGTGGTGGATTCTGGACTGGAGGTAGGAGTTAGCTGAGTAAGAAAAGTGCTAATCCGTTTTTTGGCAGCAGGAACTACACAAGAATTGCCTGGCAGTGTCAAGTCTGAGTGTACCTGAGACGTGTTGATGACAACTGTCTCTGCATCAGAAGATTTTTGGACAATGGGCTTGCTAATTTTGAAACTTCTCGAAGAACTTTTTTCTTGTTTTACTCCATCGTAATTTTTGGACACTTGAGAAATGGCATAGGGTGTAGAAATGGAAGTACCTACTGAAGACATTGATGGAATTGGGTTAGCTGTGAATGTAGATGTATACTTCCCTGGAACTTGTTTTGGGGATCTTAAATTAAGAACGTTAGAATTGTCATTGCTTTTGCAGTTTGTTGGTAGATAGTCTTTAGCTGATAATGGTTCAGGGCGTTTCACAAGAATTGCATTTCCCAATGAAACTGAACTTTTTTGGTCTTCGTTATTCTGCGCAAGACTGATGTAAGGAGGAGTACTGATGGCATTAGGTTTCAACATGTCAATCTTCGGTATGTCTACTGCATGTGAGCTGATTTTTGGCAGAACCGTGATGGATGACTTGGAAGAAACGTCACCTCCATGATCAGAATCTTCTGTAGCTAATGGCATAGAGTTTTTAGGAATTTTTTTCAAATTGCTATTTGTAGCAGTGGTAGTCGCAGGTGAGAAAGAATTCGACTCTGGCAAGGAACAGTAACTTACTCCTGTAAGACACAAATCAGATAATAAACATTGCTGGGTCAAGGCTTTATCCGGCTCAACCATGTTTACATATGGGGCAAAATTTAAGGATTTAGGCATTTTAGTGCCAGAGTCCGATTCTTTCCGAAAAGAGGATTTCAAAATCCCTTGAGTTTTGTTCTCTTTCCAGCTGGAATACGTACGAGGCCAAGAACCTGTTTGTTCTGTCTCTTCATCATTCCATTTCTTTGAAGCAAGGTAGCTACGTGGCAGAGTGTTACCTTCTTCTTCCTCCTCTGCTTTTGCTTTATCGATCTGGGTGTTTCCATGATTCATTGCTTTTCCACTGAAAGCAGATTTCTCAAGGGTGGAACTCTCAGAGTACAAATTGGAAGGTTCCTTGTAAACGATATTGGCCGATTTCAAGGTTCGATTGAGCTCCAGTTGTTCTTTGTACTCTGCCTGCAACCTCTGCTGGTTTATATCTTCATCACTTCCTGAAGAAGAGACAGTGCACCACGAAGGAAATGTTGTTGGGGAAATAAGTGTTTTATTCCTTAACCGTTTGTAAATAACCTCATGATCAGTTTCCGAATATGAGGATTCCGTCGTGGCACTAGCCATGGAGTTTCGCTTAGAAACATTGGTTAGAGTTGAATCACTACCTTCGCTTCCTGTAGGACTTTCGGAAAGACTTCTCTGAGAAAATTCAGACATTTCACGCGTTGGTGTTGTTTGATCTCTTTCAGAATCTGTAGATGAGACCTTGACACATTTACTGCCAGGAATATACAAAACACTGTCAACCGTGACACTGCTTCCTATACTAAACTGACTGAGGGATTCAGGGGACACTTCTTCAATATCTTGCCCAACGATCATGCTACTGCGTTTCAGCCCACTGTCACTGTGGAAAGATGTATAGAAGCCATCTTGGTCAAGGGAGTAGACAGAGGAAACCTCATCATCAAGCAGCCCCGATGTCTTCATGGCTGTTGATGAAGACAGCAGGTCAAAGGACAGAAAATCTGGCTTTGTTAGACGAGTCAATGAATCGATACTGCTTGATGATGTGTCATCTTGGCTACATGCTCGGATTGCCAAACTTTTTAGCCAAGTGGCTGTATCAAGTCGAGTGAAATTTGATGGAAGAGAATCTTTGTCACTGGGGTCTCCTGTGAGGGTGCTTGTTTCATCTCCTCCGCCTTCTGTGGTGTCGCTTGTTTGCCTTGAGGAAAAAAAGAAAAAAAAGAAACCTATCAGTCAATGTTGTGGAGGTTTTGGTATTTACTTATTCATCAAAAGAAAATAAGAAAATAAACAAAAAATATGAAACAAAAATATGAACAATAAATAAACAAAAGCTCACAAAAAATGAACAAAAGAAAAAAGAATATTTGAAGGCATACGAAAATTAATGACAAGTGGAAGAATTTGTTTTTGTGTAAGATGTTTTGGCCTTTAGGACTTCATCAGACTAAAGTAATGTTTATGTTGATGTAATTATATATGTGTATGAGGGGGGGGAATATAAAAATGGAAATGTTGCTTAAAATAATGCCTGGATTAGAAATTTTGTAAATTTTGTAAATTTTTTTTCTTCCACTCATTTGACGGTATATAAGACACCTCCATTTAAATTTAATATTACACTACAAGCATACTACCTGTAAAAAATAATAGGATAATGTGACTAGGATCAAAGTATCTGTGCACTTTGTGAAGAACTGATTGATTTGATTTTTTATGGTTTATCATTCATATTGATAATCCATTTTATTTTAAACAATATTTTAGTTTTCTAACTAAAATTTAAGAAAATTTATAAAACATGTCAAAACAAATTTTCCAAATTGTCTTGTAAAACATATCAAGACATGTTTTTTTTTTTACCAAGTGCACTGATACTATCAAAATATATATTTTTAATCATTTTTTTGGGGGGCGATGTGGGTAAGATCTGATATGCCGTCAAATATTCTAGTTGAAAATTTAAACAGCTGAATTAAAATGCATTCAAATAATGTAGGAAACTCAACAATATAAAACCATCAATTTTTACTGAACTTTTAATAAAAACAACAGCATGGTATATTGGCAGGTGATTTAAGACATTTTATTGCCTCCATCTTGAAGAGACTGTTGACATGTACTTTAAGCCCTTGATTAAATAGGCTCTGGTATAAAGGAGCTTGGATTCCAAGGGCCCTTATCACTAAGATATGCAGGTGGTGCAAAGGTTATTAGGATAGAAAATGGAATCTGCAAGACAAGTACAAATTCCACCTAGTCAGTTGCATTCACTTTCACATAAATGTCATTCAGAAACTCATGAATCCATCTCTTCTTTCCCTCAGCTATGGGTTAAATAACAGGACAAACTGAACTATATTGCATTAAATGGCAACTAGACAACTCTCAATTCAAAAGCATACAGAAAGCAATGGAGCAACCACTTTACTAATTTTCCAAAGAATAATCAATGCAGTGTACAGTTAGTAGATATAAAAAGGAAACTGTGGAGAGCTGTTATCGCCTCCATCTTGAAGGGACTGTTGACATGTAAAAAAAAATTAAAATAACTAAAAAAATTCCAATATACACAAATGAAGCTGAAGAGAGGAAATAACACATCTATTAGTATAGAAGTGAGGTACTGTGTAGTGAGAGGATCTCTAGGTAAAACAAAATAAAAGAATTTGCAAAATAAATCCATGTTATAGTATTTAGCATCTGGGAATCATTATTTATATTTCTAAGCAAATTAAATTTTCCTTTCATCACAACTTGTGTAATATTTATTGTTACAGTCCTTAAAGACAAATCGTCAATTATTTTTGCAACCAAGTTCAAAATTGGACAGGAACCATTATGGTCTGTAAACCAAACATAATTGGATGCAAAGAACACTAGCATGATTTTATTGAGAAATATATATGAAAGAACAGACAAATATAGAAAAAATATAAGGCCTTATAAATCCAAAATTTAAATCAAACCATATTCGTAACAGATAAAGCACATATATTTCATTGTAGGGTTGTCAAAAGATGATTCTCATAAATATAGATGTGTGAATATCTGTCTATATCTCTGAGATGAGGTATTATGATTACTTACATTATTTGGACTGTTATCCTCATCTTTATTGCCATATTCACAAAGTTTCAGCCATTCTACACTCTGGCCTTTATGTCTATGTCTCTATATATCTCTGTCTATATCTCTGAGATGAAGTATTATGATTACTTACATTATTTACATTATGTGGACTGTTATCCTCATCTTCATTGCTATATAATGTTTCATCCATTGTACAATCTGGCCTTCTTCAAGTGATTAGAATTTTGCACCGAACCCTTTATTTTCGTCCACAAAGGACCAGTGGATAAAGACATTGGTTAGATCCAGTGACTAGATCCAAAGAGTTGTGAGTTCAATACCAGGCCAAAGCAGTGGTGAACTAAAAAAAACGTGGAGAGTTGAGTTAAAGAGAAATAACTGAGACACCCAGAAGAGGCATGGTACATGGAACTAGAACAATCTAACCCGGTGGACAAAATAAAGGGTTCAGTTCAAAATTCCAATCACCTGAAGAAGGCCTGAGCGTACAATAGCCAAAACATTGTGAATATGGCAATGAAGAGGAGGAGGAGGATAGTCCAAATAATGTGAGTAATACTCATTTCAAAATGACCAGAGCCTGACAGCTGATCTCTCATTTCACTCAGCTGTAACAGCTCAATGTTGGGGGTGGGAATATTTCCAAATCCAATCTAGTAATTTTTCACCATCATAAGTCAACCCTGAATTTTTGCATGTATCATAATGAACTTTGAAGGAGTATCCTTGCTTGGAATGTCTATTGGGACCTGAGTTCAGCCCAGATTTCAAGTGTAATGTATCTATATAATCCATCACTAAAGACACCCCAAAAAATGGTTTCTTGTAGTGCTCCAGAAAGTACCCAATTCCTGCTATGTTTTATCATTACAAGAACAAAAATAGAGTAATGTTGCTATCTCTGAGCTGGAACTGTCTGTTCTACACTTTCCAAGCTTGATAGAGTCCAAAAGCATTTATACAGCAATTGTGGGTGATTTTCATCTCTACAACCTGTTTCCTACAGATAAGCCACTCGCTACTCTATCAATATTTCCATGGCAAATGTTCGTATGTTTCCTTAGTTCCACTAGTTCAGACATTCAGAACTAAGATCCCTCCACATCCATGCCCCCCTGTGTATTCCATTAATAAGAACTTTTTCTCAAGAACCGCTACTTGAACAGACTTCTGAGTAGATGTTTCCCAGATTGCTACAGTTCACTTTGAATGCATAAAGAATGAATATACTAAAATTGATGGCAATGTGGAGTTATTGCATTGAATTCATGTGGATCTTGCAAAGTACATCAAACTTGGCATCACACATGATAAGAAATCATATTGAAGTTATTATTTGTTAATATTCCAATAAAATGTTGTTGAAAATTTCATTCTTTGAAAATATGCATTTTTGCCTATATGTTCAGACATTAGGAACACCCTGTATAGCAGAAGATAGAAGGTGTAATTTTTAGAGTCTATGATTTTAGCCAATCCAATCAATGTGAAATGTTGGCATCCCCTTCACCCTTTAGAGTCCACTGGGACATATGTATCCCACAGATGTTTTCAACACACTCTGTGGGACATAATTGTCCCCAAAATGCATTGATATGGGATAAAGTGGACATAGTGTTCCATTGTTATATTTATAATAATACATTCAATAAAATTATTTTTCTAAATCAAAGTCATTTAGATATGTTTACTGAAATGAACAATTATATTTTTTGCCGTCTACATCAGTTAAGCAAATGTGGACTTGAAACGGTTAAGTAAAGAAAGACAAACTGAAGCTAAGATCCTTCTGAAAATTATTAATGACAATCTTTTATTAATTTGGACAAGTATCTTTATCTCTGTTGTTTTGATCATTACATTTTATTTGGCTCTTTCACACATCCACAATTTTTATGTTTTACTCTCATGACAAAAAACTGTCTTATGCTTAAGTGGAGGGTGAATATTTTATTTGTTGATTATTCTTATTTACATCATGATCAAAGTTTCAAAAGATTGCCTGGCATATAAACCTTTCCCCAAGTATTTAGCACCTAAAACCTAAACATTCTTGTTTGACATACTAAATTCTTGGTGATCCCAGAATGAAATATAATTGATTGTAAATGATTAAATTATAATTACAAACCCAAATAATGTTAAAATATTAAAAAATAAAATCTTAATTAATTTGGTAGTTTTTTGATAACCTCAGATTTAAATATACTAGAATTTTTTACAACACACTGATATGTGTGGAAATCCTCACAGTATTTAGCCCTGTTGAAGTTATTGCTTATATTTTTTGTCGAGATTAACAAACTCTACATTTCATTCAATTTCGCAAACCAATCAATGAAATTTGAATAAGCTGATTTGTTTGGAAAAATACTTTGACAAAACCCCTACATTGCGGTTTAATAATTTTTTAATTTTATTTTATACGACTTTCTGGTAAACAATATTTTTTAAGAAAATTTCTTTTTTTTTCCTTTTTAACAGCAAAGAATAAATTCTTAGGATTTCTTACTCTTGAGCATGCAACATAAAACTGGTCATGCGTAAAAATTTCTTTGATTTGAAGTGTTTGGCCTTGTGTAATTTGTTTATAGTTCTTGCAAATGCAGGACGAACTGAAAGCTGGATTCTTGTATATACAGAAACTTAATTGTTTTGTAATCATTAAATTGTTCTTTTTAAATAGAGTATTTTGTATGTTAAATAATAAAACTTTTAATTTTTCCAAAAATATTAATGAAAATTTATTGTACTAAGTCATGCACCCTAGTAAAATCAGCTGTACTTTGTACCCCCTTAACTGTTTGCACTTCTCCCTGAAATTTGCTTTTGATCAGTCAGTGTATGGCTATTTTAGAGGGTGTGATGGATGGACTAACAGAAGTCACAGGATATATATATAATATATATATATATGTATATATATGTATATATATAGTTTAAATAAAAACAGACCACTTTAAGGTTCCATGTAATAAATTATTTCACCACAGCCCTTTTAAAAGGACTGTGGATCATCAGACTTTACTTCCAAACAAAAAATGAAAAGAAAATTTACACATTTTTGACGGGCCGTATTAAACATATGTAAATTAACAAAATGAA